ATGGACATTCAAAAGAGAAAATAGTATTACTTGCAAAATTTATAAAAAATATTATGTTAAGTGATTTAATTATTGAGAATGTATAAACATTTATTTAGGCTTTAGTTTTTGTTCCAAACATTTTCATATGTTTCCAAATTGTTTTTCCATCTCCCTTATGTTTTCGAAATGTTTTAGTTTTCAAGATAAATGAAACAACACACTGAATGAGAAAATAACATTATATACAAAATTTATAAAAAAAAAAAAAATTAAAAAATACAAGCGTAACCGTTGTAGTGACTGTAACTGCGCTGTAGCGGCAATGTAACAGCCGTTACGGCCTTTATGTAACGGTAGCGGTCATTACGGTTGTGAATTTTTGTCACACTGCTATAGCCGCCATAACTGGTGACGGTAACCATCACAACTATTACATAACGGTTGCGGCCACTTTTTAAAACCTTGCAGATGACTTAAATCTTAAATTTTTGGGGCTTAAACTTAGTGAAATAAAGGGATAATGAAACTCGAATTTAGTTAGGGAAGCAAAATTTGTAGAGGGTTAATTTATTTATTTATTGAATTCAGGTCTCCTACTGCTGATGATCCAGCACCCCTGAATAGCACGACCTAGACTTTCACAATCCATCACCTTGCGCAACCTAGTTCATCCTCCAAAACCAACACTGTGTACTACAAAGAAAGAGAGATTCAAGGTAAAGGTAGAAAAAGAAGATGGAAGGTGTGGGAGGTGACGACGATGAAGGGTAGTGTCGAATCTAGGGAGTTGGGGAGGAGGATCGGTGACGAGGGAGGGGCTAAAAGGGGGGTTGATGAAAGAGAGAAGCGATTTGGGGGGGGGGATTGTGATGGTCGGAGAGGTGGGAGGTGATGAAACTGAAGGGTAGGTGTCAAATCTGGGGATTGTGGAAGAGTGTTGGGAAGGAGGGCATCACGATGGTTAGAGGTGGCGACCGTGAGAGGGTGGCAATGTAGAGGTCACTGGTGGGAGCAAGGCTAGATGTTTGTGGTTGAAGATGGCGATCATGGCTGCTAGAGGTGGTGATTGGGGGGTGGGGTAGAGCAGAGTTTTAAAAGGCTTTCTTGAGGCTCACCTCACCTCAATGCTCGCCTCGCCTTTGAGACTAAGGTAAAACGTATCAAGCTTTTGATTTTGAAGTATTACTCTCCAAAGGCTTGCGCATCACAGTTTGAGACATGCGCCTTAGGTGTGTTTTGTACATTTTTTTGTGCATAAGCATGTGAAGAGTACTCACATGCAAAGGTTGCTTTGGGTTTTTGTTAAACTTAGTCTATTAGATTATTTACACATAAAAAAAAAAAAATAAAAAGAATTCATTTTGCAACTATATTCTACAAGAAAAATTAAGTAAATGGTCAATAAAAAAAAAAAAAAAACACAGTTAGTGGTCTACTGAGAAGCTCAATCACTAAAGTTAAGAATATCAATTTCATTTTTAGTGATGGAAAACCTCCTCATACACAGTAAAAGGTTCAACATCTTAAGGCGAAAAGTATTTACACCTTTATATTTTAATTTTTTTTTTACTATTTTAAAATATTTAATTCATTCACTTAATATTAAAATTTAAAATTTGAAATGCTTACATCTCAATGCCTTGAGACTTACACCTCGCCTCACGAGGGGTGAAATGCCTCGAGGTATGCATTCACCTTTAAAAACTTTAGAATAGAGTTAGGGTTTGTTAGGTTTGGGATGTTAGAATGAGGGTTGTGATTGGTATTATGCTGATTGTGAAAAGATAAAATTAATAATTTAAGTTTTTGTACATTGTGTAAGGAGAAATGGAGTGTGATGAGAAATTTTATTGTGTAAGAAGAATTACTAAAAGCATCCCGATGCTACTAATGTCGTGTATTTGAAGTTTCAGTTTTAGCCCCCAAAATGCATCAAGTTGCCCTCATCCCACATTGGAGTCCAATGTAGAAAACATTAGGCATTAACATCTCTGGTCTGGCATTGTCGGTTTTCCTTTTTGTTGATTGTTAGTTTTTTTGTTTTGTTGTTTGGTTGGAATGACCCTTTCGGGTCTTGATTATGTCCTGTTATTATTATTTATTAATATAATATTTCTCATGTTCTTAAAAAAAAAAAACTCTGGTCTGGCCATAGGATATGGATCATAATGGGCCCAAACATTTAGAGGTGGTTACTGTGATGCTCCACTTGACTTTTGCATCCCATCTGTTTGAAACTGATTTTGCCTTCTCCTTTTATGGAACAATATATATCCCACATACTGTTAAGACATTGTTGACTCACTTCTCTATTACCTGAGGTAGCGTTTAATGGAATTGTAATACATTATAGGGGCATTTACATGTAAATCTTCAATTTATGAAATTATATTCCATTAAGTCTTAATTAAAATTTTTTAGATATTCAAATTTCATTAAATTCTTAATAGTTTGAATTACCCTTTAAACAATGATTGTTCATCATTTATGATAATTTATAAAGAAATATGATTTGACATTTATTTTGATTTTCATCACTTTAAAACATCAACTTTCAATTGAATTTTTTTTAAAAAAAATTGTGCAAAATTTTTTTTTTTTAAAAAAATTGAATAATTTTTTTTGTGCAAAACTGAAAATTTTGTCTATAAAGAAGCATGATGATAGAACATTGATATGCAAAATTGGAAAAAAAAAATAAAAATGAAAAAATTGATAATGTTCTCATTTTTAAAATTGAAAAAAAAATTAATAATATTCTTAGTTTTATTGGATAGTGAAATTAAATCAATAAGTGAAAAGGCAAAAACGTTTAATCTTATGTTCTGTTTTTTTATCAGTTAGTGAAACAATTCTCTAGAACATTATTATGCAAAATTGATAATGTTTTTTGTTTTTTTTTTTTTTTTAAAAAAAAAAAAAAACTGATTCAATTTTATTAAATAGGATTTATTCGTTTAAAAAATCTTAAATAAGATTTGAGATACCATAACATTTGTAAATAGGACTTTTAAACAATTAATTCTACATTGTATAAGTGTATAAGATCCAAGTTGTAATTGCCTTATGCCCAAGGCTTTTAGATTCTCAGTGTCAATACAGTTGATTTAAGCCTAGCTAGTAGGATACTAAAAAAGAGACGCAACCAATATCAAACCAGTAACTATGGGAAAACCATTAAGTCTTAATTAAAATTTTTTAGACATTCAAATTCTATTAAATTCTTAATAGTCTGAATTATCTTTTAAACAATGATTGTTCATCGTTTATGATAATTTATAAAGAAATATGACGATTTGACATTTATTTTGATTTTCATCACTTTAAAACATCAACTTTCAAATTGAAATTTTTTTTAAAAAATTGTGCGAAATTTTTTTAAAAAAATTGTGCAAAATTTTTTTTTTAAATTGAATTATTTTTTTTGTGCAAAACTGAAAATTGTGTCTATAAAGAAACATGATGATAGAACATTAATGTGCAAAATTGGAAAAAAAAAAAATTAAAATGAAAAAATTGATAATGTTCTCAGTTTTAAAAGTGAAAAAAATTTGATAATATTATTAGTTTTATTGGATAGTGAAATTAAATCAATAAGTAGAAAGGCAAAAGCGTTTAATCTTATCTTTTGTTGTTTTTATCAGTTAGTGAAACAATTCTCTAGAATATTACTATGCAAAATTGATAATGTTTTTAGTTTTAACAAAAAAAAAAAAAAAACTGATTCAATTTTATTAAATAGGATTTATTCGTTTAAAAAATCTTAAATAAGATTTGAGATACCATAACATTTGTAAATAGGACTTTTAAACAATTAATTCTACATTGTATAAGTGTATAAGATCCAAGTTGTAATTGCCTTATGCCCAAGGCTTTTAGATTCTCAGTGTCAATACAGTTGATTTAAGCCTAGCTAGTAGGATACGAAAAAAGAGACGCAACCAATATCAAACCAGTAACTATGGGAAAACTTGTGAGCTTTATTATAATTATTTAAATTCAATTGGGGTTGAATTATAATAATAAAAAGTTTAAATTTTCCAAGGTCATTATAAATTTGTAGTTATGTTTCTAAATTATTTAAATCCATATATGTTCATTCTTTCTAAGGACATGTAGTAGAAAATTCTGGTTTTGGAATGTTTTGACAGAAGTAAGATTAAGCAATTGTCGAAAAAAGAATTTTATCACTTTGTTTAGTTTCAGTTTTTAGAATTCACTTATAAAAAAAAATTATTTTTTCGTTTTCCAATTATTTTTTTGTTTTCACTGAATTTTTAAAAATATTTTAAGCAATTTTTTTAAAAATATTTTTAGACATGTAACATAAATAGGCTAAAATTTTAAAAAACTGAATTACGAAAATTAAAATTAAATACACTGATTATTATTATTTTCTCAGATCACTTTTTGGGTAAAGAAAAATGTTAGTGGTCAATGGTGCTTTATTATCATTTTACATTGGATCAAGTAACAAAACTTACTAACTTGTAATCGATGTCATTTTATGAGATAATATGGTATTTTTCAACTCAGTTGAAAAAATAAACAATAAAAAAATCTCACATTTCAAAGTACTTCCATTATGTTAGTATTTGATAAAATTTAAAATTAAATATTAAATAATGAATTTTTTTTTTTAAATTTAAAAAGGAGTAAATTGATGATAAATTCACCCTTTATGAAATAATTTGGTGAATGGTATCATGACATGCTCACGTTGAGAGGCATGAGAATTCAAAAGAAGAATGTTAGGGGCAAATCACGAAGACAATTGTGTTTTCGAAGTGCTTGAGTTTAATCAAACTGAAGAATTTCCATTCCTCTAGAGTTCTCAAGTGGCATGAGAATTCGGGAAAGTTGTAGAGATGTATTTTTTAGTAGGACCATCCGGGTCCAAGATTTTGGGTATGTATGTGGTATGACTTCGGGTCAAGGTGCCATGTGGCATGATAATATGGGCCAAGGTTGTGGCATTGGTTAAATTTCAGCACACACAGGAGGCTATTGCTGTAATGTAACAAAACGCTTGTACGAGTATGCTCCAATAACAAACTAAAGCAACACAGCACCGAACACAAAAGACTTGATACATTAGAGACAGTTTAGCAATAATCAGGTTCACTAAACACTTGATTGGGGTGCTTACGATTGTTACCCACAAGCACACATTTAATATCACAAAGAGGGAGAAAGGGGGAAGAGAGTTTTATTCATCTTGCGTATTTCACTATGGCATCGACGAAATGAGCAATGTTGCATTTCCACTTCGATACAACGTACATATAAGGAAGCTCAAAACCTTAAGCCTTTTCGACTATTTCTTCCATCTAAAAGGTTGAACATGCTTCGGCCATATGTGGTTTTCATCATATTTAGGAGGAGGGGAAATTGTAAGAAAGCAAACAAAGTCACTAGTGCAAAGGACATTATGACCACTGAAATTGGTTTCCAAGTTTCGTGTTCTTCGAAAAGCATGAAATATTGGGCAAAACCAAAAGCTATAATAGTGGATGTTATAGAGACAAACAGGGAAATCAGGCCAATTATTAATCTATTGGGCAGGGAATATAGAAAATCAATTGCTGCATAGCGTGTAGTGAAGATGGATAAAAAGATTAAGAATGTGGAGATGGCCGAGTATAGCGCGGCTGCATTTGATATGGCAAATAATCTGAAGGTGGATCCGTTGGTTTCGTTATTTGAGTTTGGATGGCCTGTATTATTGTTGGTTTCGTTATTTAAGTTTGGATGGCCTTTATCATTGTTTCCCCCCGGCACTTGAATGGCTGCCGAAAATGCTATTGTGCCAATGATTGTTGTTGAAACAGTGCATGCACTTGCCAGGCTTACAATCCATTGCTCTTCAGATTGGATCATACGACGATGGTCCTCGTCAAATACCATCATAGGTGTCTTTCCATCATGGTTCAATGTTGTTGTTGCCTGCACCGGCACCAGCTTTTCTACTTCCTACGCCATCAAGTTAGTTTGGAATGTGAAAGCAAGTTTATGGTGCATCTCAATAAATAATAATTATGCATGCACAGAAAAATGTCATTAAAAAGTGCACAAAAAAATGTTCAGATTTATTCAGAGCACTTGTATTTATACTTTCCTATGCATGCAATATTATTGGGTACTGAAAGGTAAAATAGTTGACGAAATTCTATAAAAGAAAATGACACATAATAATAAAACAGAAAAATCGCACGCTTCTATGATTCATACAAATTTTGTTCCGAATCTTTTATTTTGCTGAAAATCAATAATTTATTATTTATTATGTCTTGAGCTTCCCTATAGTTTTTTCCCCATTTTGTCATTTTCTTTTGTAATAGTAGAGATAAATAACAACTCTTGTTTGTAGGGAATTCAAGAAAAAAAAAAACAAGATGTAATATAAACTTGAGAACTTTTTGCCTAGATACAAAACAAATGTATTACCTTGTACCATTGCAATTCACGCTGCATTTGTAAAACTGCACCAGAACCAACTTCAAGTTGTGGTTGATATGGCATTCGTCCAACCAAGTGCAAGATATTGTTGCCTCCATTGTCTACTTTCAACAGTAACTTTTTACTCACTCCCATTTGTTGAATAATAAAATTGAAAACATGTTCACAACGGTACATAACTGCAAGATGGAGAGCAGAATGCCCGTCTTCGTCTACATAAGAAATTGCATCCGGAAATACCACTAAGATCTCTTCTACTATTTCTTGAATTCCATTTTTTGCCCCTAATAGAAAGGCCTTTTTAAGGATTGATGAATGTTCTGGACTACCCTGAAGTCCCCAGCAAAACATTCTCACAAACAATTTTGTGCGATCATGCATTGATTTTATTTATTAGTACATGTAAACATTCAAGCCTAGGACTTTTCTTGTATTGAGTTAGAACTCATATTTTTGTATCCAAGTGTTGGCTTGGAGAGATGTAAGCCTGTAAGGCATTTTATTCAATGTTACATGTAATACTTTATTTAGTAATACTCTGATGAATGAATTAATAAATTGTCTTCTTTAAATAATGCATGTCAATGATATATATAATGGGTTAATTTTGAGGGCGTTACAATAATTAACTTTCACTGAGAAAAAATAAAAAATAAAAAATCCAAACCAGTTAAGAATTAGAGGACAGTGCCGAACCTGTTAAGAATTAGAAGACGGTGCCAAGGTGATAGTTGGGGTTCATACTAATTGTACATAATACAACTCAATGGAATAATGATGGTTTTCTATCTTAAATTGTTATGCCCTCTCTTTGTGTTCTTTGTTCTTTGTTTTTGGTTTTGTTATCATTCTTAAAAATATGTGCTTTTATGTTACTTTGGTTCTCTAAGTTATATTTTTTTGTCAATTTTGTCTTTAAACTTTCGTATTTGAGTTAAATTGGTCTAATTTCAATTGTGTCATCTAAATTGCAAATATAGTTCCCAAAATATCTGTTTTGTGTCACTTTAAAATATTAATTTTTTCAATTTCTTCCTATTCCCGTTTTGTGTCATTCATTTTCTTCCCAAAATATCCGTATTTGAGTTAAATTGATCACCGGCTTGTTGGTCACCCATTCCAGTCTGCTTTTTTAAGGGTTTGCAATTGATATATAGGCTCATAAGGCAAGGCCGGAATGACTTTTTAGCTTCGTTTAATAAATGGGTTGGACTTAGGAATGCTACTAGCATTAATATATACATAGGACAGTTTTATAATACATACCTTTTTTGGAGTGTATATTATATGTTTCAATTATGATGTTTGTGATATTTGGTTATGACATTGTGATTTTATTTATAACTTGGTTATGATTTGATTATGACTCATTGTGGTGTTAATTATGATTCATTTTAATATTGGTTATGACATATTATTATTATTTTGGTTATAATTCAAAAGGTTTTCAGCTATGCCTTATATTGTTTTTGGTTACAACTCATTATATATATATATATATATATTATAGTTATGGCTCAAAAGAATTTAGTTATGATATTTGTGATAATTAACACTACAAATGTCCTAACTTATATATGATATACAATCTTTTTGAGGATATGTATTATAATTTCTAGCATGAGCCAGTATATACATGCATATAATTTACTTAGTTTTTATTTATTTTTATATAGAAAAGATTTACTTAAGATGGAAAACAGCTTCGTTTGGAAAGCCATGGTTTGGACTTTTTTGGCTATTTTAGCCACAAAAAACAAAATAGGCTATTTTAGTCCTAATAAACAAAACATCACATCAAACCCATAATCATTACATTCTTCTCTTACAAAAAAACTCAAAAAAGCCAAAAAGTCAAAAAGTTCTTCCCAAACCAAACTTTTAAACCCAGGCTAAAATAGCCAAAAAAATCAAAAAGTCAAAAAGTTAACCCACTTCCCAAACGGAGGCTTAGTCTATAGTTAAAATGTAATGACTAAATATTAAGTTTTTGTGTCAACTCAATTACAAATTATTAATTTTAATTTTATAATATATTTTTTATTTAATAAATGGTTTTCTTGGATGGACTTGGGATTGTAATACCATGTTATTAGGGACGGGTTTGAGAGAGATTTTTATGTATAGGGTCGATCTTGGGCAAGAGATATTTTTGTATTTCTTAACTTAGGCTCAGCCCTAATCCGACGCGACTTCATATTTGTCCACCCCTACTAAACACTGTAATATGCTTAGGCCTCGTTTGGTAACTTTCTATTTTAGTTAAAAAGTCAAAAAGTTATTAAATTAGTCAAAAAGCCAACAATCCATACCAAAAAGTCAAAGATTCTCTTTTCTCTCTATTTTTTGCACATCTTTTCGTAAAAAATCAAAAAGTCATCCCAAACATACTAGTTTTTTTTAGCTCATATTTTAGCTCATATTTTAGCCAAATAGCCAAAAAGTTACTAAATTAACCTGTTCCAAACAGGGCCTTAGTCTTCTTCCGTCATTGTTTAGGAATCAAAGTCACTTAACACACTTTATGAATGGTATATTTTATTATCATTTTGTTACAATTTTGACAGTACATTAGAAATTGGATCAATTTAACACATTGAAAAGTGACATAAAATGCATACTTCAGAGATTATAAATCTTTTTATATTTGGCTCTGTTTGGTGAAACTTTTTTTAAGTTAAGAGTTGATAATCAGAAAGTAGAATCTAAAAATATCTCTTTTTCAGCTTCTAAATAATCAAAAAAAAAAAAAAAAAAAAAAAAAAAAACTTATTTAAGTTATTTCTACCTAATAAGTTATAAGTAGAAATTATATCAAACAGTCTGACACAGACTTTTAAATTAAAATAAATTATAATCACATCCTAAAAAGTGTAACAAACGGCCATTTTAAGTCCGCAACGGTCTAATTCTTAGACAATAGTATGGGTCAAACCGTATTCTCATTTAGTCTTTTCTAATATTTGGATTAGAACTTATGTAACTATAGTCGGCTAACGCCTGATTTAGTGACACCCGGTTGGTCGGGCTTCTTGTGTGCCTGTTATTGTGTGTTGTTGACTTTCTCACGTAGTTGACTTTTATTTTAATGTAATTATCTATCTTCTACCAATAATTCCCAAATTATGAGCTTTATTGCATTTTAATTGCTAATCTTTTGATTTTGTCAATTTTGATCCCCCATTTGTGAGTTAAATGTCCTTGCCACTCACGCTATCTAAAATAGTTAAATGGGAAGTGAGGTATTATTTAGACTTTATTAAAAAAGGGACAAATTATACTAGTAATTCTTATATTTTGATTTTTGTATCATTTTTGTTCTTATAGTTTCAATTAATTCAACTTTGACTTTGAATTAATGATTTTGTCAATTTGAACTAATTGATTACAATTGTTAACATATTTTTTTTTATTTTTTTGTTTTAATGAAAAATCCACTCAACTTTTTTTTTAATGAAAAATCCACTCAACAGAGGCATGTGTCAAACTTTTAAAAACAAAATTGGAAAGTTGCTTAACTTGATGAGTTAACATGAACCAATTCAATGATTGTTTTATGTCAAAAATTCTAACAATATTATCAATTGGACTAAATTGACACAATTTAAAATTACTAGTCAAAATTAATCAAATTGAAAGTATAAAGAACAAAATGACACATAGGACAAAATATAAGGTGAGAGGGTAATTTGTATAGCACAAATTGGGCTGAGCTAGGCTGAAGTGGGCTTAAGACTTGGCCCGCATTAGTGAACTGAGCTATGCTTTAGATAGAGCTTGGTTTGGGCCGCACGAAAGTCAAATCGGTCAAAGAAGTTTGACCGTATAGGTAAAAGCTAATGTTCTTAGACCGAGCTATTTTCTAATGGCAGTCAAAGGTTTGACTGAGCTATATGGGAAGGTGGTCAAATGTAATTGGTAGTAAAGCTTTAACTGGGCTAGGAGAAAGGCCATGCAACGTTAAACATGGTGGTGCGTCGTGCTAGGCTTGCACGGCGCTGCGTGTTACACAGTTAAATCAGAGGCGGACAGAGCAAGGTAGTTCGACTACTTGGCTGGAAGTCGTGTAAAGAGTTGTGCCATCTCAATTGGCTTGCAGTGAGAAAGATGTTAAAGGATGAGCATTATTCTTTAAGAATGTGATTCCTAAGAGGACTCTACAAAGGTGAATTAGAATCCTACTAGGATTGTGCCATGCAAAACTTACAAAAGCTCAAACCAAACCCTAATTTCAAGTATTGCAATTATTATTACCGAATTTACAAAGCTTTTGTTTCATTCTTAGTCTATTTGCTGACTTAAGCATTGGAGGGGTTTCTGATGTACACTCGCCGACTAGCTGACGTTTGTGATTTCAGGTCTTACGACGACGTTTGAAGGAACGTAAGTTTGATCAATAGGATTATACAAGCGACAATTATTTTGTGCTCGTACATAGGGATTATTAATATAGTTTACCTTAAAAAAAATCTAACCAAATTAAAGGGAAAATTATGCAAATAGTCCTTGTGGTTTAACCAAATTAAAATCTTAACAAAATTAAAATATTGATTTGAATTAAGTTTTGAAAAGAGTTTTGAATTATGTGTTTGGTTATGAGTTTTGAAAAGTAATGATTATGTTTTGAATTGAGTTTTGAGAAATGAGTGTAGAATTATGATTTAAAAGCTCAAAACAAAAAACACACTCAAATCAATGGGTGAAATTATAATTTGAAAATTCTGCCAAACAGAGCCTAAATTTTTTATTTAAAATTAAAACTAGGGCTCCGTTTGGCAAGAACTTTTTTGGCTATTTTAGCCACAAAAGATAAAATAGGCTATTTTAGTCATAACAAACAAAACATTACATCTAACTCATAATCATTACACTCTTCTCTCACAAAAAAAATTAAAAAAGCCAAAAAATCCTTCCCAAACTAAACTTTTTAGCCCAAGTTAAAATAGTTAAAAAAAGTCAAAAAATTAAAAAACTAATCCACTTCTTAAACGGAGGCTAAAGGTGTTTAGTTATTTTTTTTTATTTATTAAACAGTTAAAGGTGTGTAGTTTGAGAACCAGGTTGATTAACTATTATATTTCACTGAATCAAGTTAGTGAGTAGAGCTTTATATATACTTGCAAGACTGATAAGTAAAAGCAGAGAAGAAGATAAGCAATTCTGACAAACCAGATAAGTAGTCTTTTCTAAAAAGTCGAATTTGTGAACTTTGAATTGGCTTCTCCGGGTCCTCACTAGCATTCGGTGAACATTTGAAGACAAAAGGACCCTCTTGAACCGGAACAACTGAAAAATATATGATTCCACATGTGAACACCACTTTCCATGTAGAAATTTAGGTAAATTACACTACTAATCTCTCTAGTTTGAGTAAATTACATTAT